CCCCAAAACCCCAAAACCCCAAAACCCCAACATTTAGTATAATTTTGAAAGATCTTTTAATATTTTCTGAGAAAATGGAACAGGCAGAAGAAATTTTAGAGCACAGTTCTGAAAGAAAGAGAGGATATAGGGTTGATAGGAGTAATGTCTGGAAGCCAACCATGAAGAATGAAATGCTCCTCCTTCCTTTCCATAATGTTTCAGATACTGTTAAGGAGTTTAGTAAGGAAGAAATGAAGGAGATGAGGCAGAAAGACACTTGTATATTGAGGTTTGAGTCTGGAGTTCAGGAGTTCTATGCTTCTGATAAGGATGTATTTAAAGTTAATGATGTGTTGTATTGTAAAACTAGCAAAGATTATCACTTAATTTCTGATATAAGGGAAGTGTCTGGCTTGGAGGACTCGAAAGAGATTTGTCTTAGGTCATGAGAGAATGATGATTACCAGACTATTGTTATTTCTGATTCTCAAATTCCTGAGTTCTCCAAGTTAATCAGCCTAAAATGAGTGATACAGACAGCTAGTCTGACGAAAATCATTGAAGTTCCTCACCAAGTTGGGGTCTCTTTTAATTACACATTGGATAGAGTCCTCGAAAACGAGAAGATTGTCTATGAAAGTTATAGAATAACTTGCAATGGAGAGGTGATTCATAAATCTGCTACAGTTCTAAAGTATCCCTTTATCAAGGATGGATCATTCATCGTCCTCTCTTTAATACATAGTCCTATTTACGTCTTCAGGAGATTTGTGAAGATAAAATCAAATCCACTGCGAGAAATTTCGGACAGGAAGCATGGTTTAGTAATAATTCCGACCGAAGACATCATCTTTGTAGGATTTAGTATGCACAAGACCTCTGGTGGGTCATCTTATAAGTTCTCCTACCAAGTCATGACTGATGGAGAAGTTCGTTCTGAAGGAGAAGCCACTGCTGGTGAAGGAAAGGACTGGCATGACGAATACTTCTCTAGATGTAAACTTCCTCGAGAAATCAGAGTGAAAGCTAAGACCAAAATATATCTTAAGTGTGAGATAAAAACAAATTCTGGAAGAAGATCAAGATTTACCTTCTATTGTGGTGTTGGAGGTAACAAGTATAGCAAGCAAGAGAATGATAACATGGGAATATTCGAGTTTGAAGATTATACTACTCTTGAGGATAGGGCTAGAACTGGGGTTAAGTATGGCATGTTCGGAGAGATCCTGTATAAGCTGCTCTAATGTTCGTTTTATTCTTCTACATTGAGTTTCAATGAACATTTGATGTCTCTGTACAACTATATTCCCGGCGATATCCTGGTCGATTAAAATTCAACCAATGAATAGGTGATGGGGTTTTGGGGTTTTGGGGTTTTGGGGTTTTGGGG